GAGTGTCGGATCCTCTGGAGATGGAGTTACAGATGGCTGTGAGCCCCTGTGTGGGTGTGTCCAGGTCCCCGGACAAACAGCCAGCACTCTGGACACCTCCCCAGCTGGCGCCCTCTGTCTAACACACCTTCAGTGTGCACAGCTGTTGCACAGCAGGGATACGCTGTTACAACTGCACCCATAATTCATTCAGACGTGATTAGCTCTGATCTAACGTGCGGCTTCTGTTCGGGACCCAGCATCCCATTTCATGGCTGGGTCTCCTTTCGGCTCTCTGATGGCGACAGTTCTCTCAGGCTCTCCATGTTGTTAATGACCCTGACGGCTTCGAGAGAACTGGTCAGCTCTTCTGTGGACGTGCCTCTGTTTGGGATCTTTGTTTTCACATGGAGAAGAGTGAGCTGCAGTTTTCTGGCTGTGTTGTCTCGTGTGTCCGCCACAAGCACGGCTTCTCTCTCACTGTGGATGGTGGGTGCCCGACAGCCTCTCTCTCTCTCTCTCTCTCTCTCTCTCTCTCACTCACTGTGGATGGTGCCCGACGTCTCTTGGCTGAGGAAGCGTCCCTTTGGCTTTCCCACAGCAAAACGGTGCCCCCACCGCAATTCTGAGGAGCACTATGGTACCCTACATCATCGTGTACAACCCACCCTTAAGGAATGGAGATTCATGTTCCCCATTCACATAAATTACCTGGCATTCTACCCAAGAGACTGGCCTGCCCTCTCCTATTCATTCAGTAATTTAGTTGGCTCACTGTGGGTGATGGGTATTTATTGATCAGGTTGTCTGAGCTCTGGGCACAGAAGTGCTTCCGTAGCTCCTGTGTCTCCTCTACACTTGGCCATTGGGCACTTCCACCCTTGCTGGTGCTCCAAGCTGCTCCAGGCTCTGTCTTAGAAGGAGTCATTCTCCACGGATTTGTGGTGGCTTTCGTTGAGGGATGGCGTTAGACACCAAGATGTGCTCAGGGTTCCTAGTGTCGCTTCCAGGCCTTCAGGAGCAGAGCTGGGAGGTAGACGCCCTGCAGAGTCACCCGGGCTTGCCTCGGGGATGTGTACGGACACCCATTTGCATCAGTAACTTTTTTTACCTCTGTGAAGGAAGGTCTCACAGAACAACTTCAGCGAGGAGAGGTTCGTGTTGGCTCAGTTTCTAAGGGCACAGTCCATCGTGGTGGGGTAGCGCTCATGATGAGAGGCTTGTTACACGAGCAACCACAGACCAGAGCCACACGTATGTCTAGCCTTCAGAGCCCGTTCCTGGTGACCTCTTGCTGCTGGCTAGACCTTGGACCCCAATGTTCTATAACCTCACAAAGACTATCACCCGCTGGGGACCGAGTCCTCAGGCACAAGCGCCAATGGGGGACGTTTCGCATCGACCGTGGTGCTAATCACACTAATCAGGAGCTCATCGTTTGGCGCATGCGCAGGTCGTGCTCTTAGCGAGCGGAGAACTCGCTACAGCAGTGGGAAATCCGATGCCTGCCATTCACTCACTTCATGGTTGAGTCTGTGTGTTGCACATTAGCGTGAGAATTAACTCACACGCTGCAGGAAAGCATTTCAGCTACAGGACAACACTTCCGGCCAGCTGACTTCATGCAGACCTCATGTGGACTTCTCTTTCCTGTATTTTCTTAGGTCGTCGCTCCCCCTCCCTCCTCTCAGTGAGGTGTGCAGAACGTTTGCAACGCAGTTCACGTCTTCTGTCACGAACTGCATTCCATCCCGAGAGTCTCCCCGCTGCCTAAATGGTTTTGAAAATATTTGCAGATGTCAGGCTCACACTGTAAACATTCAGCGTGCCTGGCCACGCGCAGAGCACATGCCCCATGAGTACGCTCTCTCGCACAGGTCTAGAGGCCCAAGGCTCCTCAGACCCTCCTGTCCCCACAGCTCCAGGGACAGGTGATCTTGTTATTGCCTTTATATTTTCACCTTTTCCCAGATGGTCATAGGACTGAAACCATACAGTAACTTTTCCAGACTGGCTCTTTCACTGGTAACACGCACTGAAGGTTCACCTGATCTTTCTGTGGCTAGACAGTTCATTTCTTTTCAGGGAGGAAAGCTTCTATGGTAGGAATAGATCACTGCTCACCCTCCATAGTGTTGAAGGGCATCTCTAAGGCGTTGCAGATAAAGCTGCCACAAACATTTGCAAGCAGTTTTTATAAACATTTATTGTTATTTGTGTTGTGTGTGTGTGAGAGAGGTGTGTGTGTGAGAGAGAAAGGTGTGTGTATGTGAGTGAGATAGAGGGGTGTGTGTGTGTGCGTGTGATGTGTGTGCAGCTGCTGTTGGAGCTTAGAAAAGGATTCAGAGCCCTTGCTGCTGGAGTTACAGGCAGTTGTGAGCTGCCTGATGCGGTGCTGGGCACTGAACGCTGGTCCTAAGGAAGAACAGCAGCTGAGCCATCTCCCCAGCCCCACGTGCAGACTCCGTGAGCACGTAGTCTTGAGATCAGTTCAGTAAGCTGTTCCGATTCACTGACTGCTGGGGTCTACAGTGAGACTATGCTTAACACTGTAGGAAATTACCAAGCTCTCTCCCGAAGCAGCTATGATAGTTTGTAGTCTCTGCAGGATATGTTTTAAAATTTAAATCACAAAAGTAAGTGCTGGCATTGAATGTGGTTCTCTAAGAACTGAGTAACACCACACAATAAACAGCAGGAAGCCATAATTTGTTCATAGCCTGACAGTTAATAACCTCTCTATATTCAGGCCAGCATTTGGCCGGTAGAAATTTCTGTGCCAACAGAGATGCTGTGTATGTGCTCAGCCAATTTGGTAGCAACTTGACACGTGCCACTGTCCATCAAACAAGTGGGATGTGGCTGGCGGAACCGATTTTACAAGTTTATCTTATTTAAACGATTCAAGTGTGACTTTCTACACGTGGCTAATTGTATTCATAATGGTGTCATAGTTCTAGATCATCAGAACTAGTTTGCCTTTGACTGGGCGGGGGCGGGGAGCTGAGACACCCCAGAGGATTCTGACTGGGGGAGCGTGATGATTCCATGTACAGTTTTGAAGTGTTACCTGAGAGCTGTGTTAGAAGGAGAAAGGGGGTCCCAGGAGAAGCAGAGAGACCGCCTAGGAGGCTGCTATTCCAATCCAGGAAACAAATATTAGTAGGATTGCACCCGCACAGTGGCGCTGGGGTGGAGAGAGGCGGTCAGCCTCAACATGTGTTCCTAAGCAGCAGCCATGTGAATTGCCAGGCGTGTCTGTAATTACAGCAACGGCAACCAAAGTTAAATGGGAACTAAAGGTCTTATCTGCCGTCTCCTTTCTCCTGCGACTGGTTCCCGTTTAAGCTGAGGGCTTAAACCGCCAATAGTCAGGTTCCAGTCTCCCAGGACGCTGCCTGGTTTCCTTCACATTTAAAAATAATAATTATAATTGCATGTACATGTGCGTGCGTGTGTGCATGTGCGTGTGTGTCCATGTGAACGTGGGTGCCTGAAGAAGTCAGCGGCATCGTATCCTCTTGGAGCCGGAGTTACAGGCAGCTGGAAGTTAAATCTGAGTCCTCAGTGAGAGCAGCGTGTATTCATAACTGATGGGCCGCCTCTCCAGCCCCTAAAAGTTATTTTTATGTATCTTCCGTGAAAGTGGCTGCCACCGTAGTTCTGGATTCTGTACGGTAGGTGGGAGGAAAGGCCTGCGTGGGATCTATTGGCCTTCACGCCAGCCTTCTAGGACCTCTGTAATCGGCACCGTCCCACGGAAATGACACGAAGAACACACATTATGTTTAGGTGGCCCATTCATTAGAGTAAAAAGAGCCAAGAATGGTCATGCACACCTTTAATCTGACTTGGAAGGCAGACTGAGGTGGAGCTCTGTGAATCTGAGGCCAGCCCGGTCTACATAGTGAGTTCTAGGACAGTCAGGGCTACATAGTGAGATAAATCAAAAATTACAAAAAAAAATTGTGGCTATAATCTCTGATCATTCTGATAGAGAATGAATTTAAGGAAATATGAGCGATGCTCTGACTGTCTTATAATGAAAATACAGGCCAGCTTCACCAGAGCACGACTGGAGTTAGCTTCTGTGATGTAGGAGGACATCCGTGGAACGTATACTGAAGGCTGTTCCTCCTAAAGGAAATGTCCGTCCCCTTTCCTTCCCCTTGGCCACCAACAGGGACCAGTTTTTCTTTCCTTTTAAATAAAGTGCTCAAGGTAAGGCTTTGAGCCTCCTCACCCTTGAGCTGGTGTCTCACTTTGACTTGGGACCTTTCAGCTGAGGCGAGTATTTGGAAACTCCCTGCCACCTTTCCCGCCAAAGCACTATCTGGCAATGACTGCCGCCATGGCTGAAGAGAGGCGGGACCAGCTGGAACGCTACCTGCAAAATGGTATGTACGCGGACTCTGTTTCACAGCTGCGTTGCAATGTAAATTCCTCGTCACAAGAGCCACCTGTTTTAAAGGCCTTATTTGTCATTGTTAGCATAGTTATGAAATTGTGCAAACAGTCACCATATTCTAGTTTTAGGGTATTACCATCGCCCCCACAGGAGACCTCGCGGACATGGGCAGTTGCTTCCCGTTTTAGCCTCCTCCCACGGGGCCCATGAAGCCACCCCTCTAGTTTCTCTCTACACACCTGCACATTCTGGATATTTCCTGTGTGCGTGACTTTACAATGGCATTCTTTATCTTGAGTATTTGCTCAAGAGGCAGTAGCAGGAGGATCTCTCTGAGTTCGAGGCCAGCCTGGCCAACTAAGCGAGTTCTCCCATTTGCTAGCGTAATAAGGTGGCTACTGAGTGGTGTGGGTGACTTGAGCAGAGCGAGGTTCCCGCGGTGCAGAGCGAGGGTCCCAGGAACACCATGGTCTTGATGGGCTCATACTGCCCAGACCACCTCAAGGGGGCAGACTCTGTCCATTGTCCTGCGTGGAGAACTCGTGCTTACATCCTGGAGGTCAACAACTCACTACTAGGGCAAGAGCTCAGAACTCCTGACAGAGCCGCGCCCTGCTCTTGCTGACTGGGCTTGCTTTCCGTGTTTTTCAGTAACTGCAGACCCCCGTGTGATGAGAAGCGACGTCTTCACCGAGTTTTTAACGCTGGTACAGATGGTAAGACCCCTTCCTGAGTGGCGCCATCAGCCTCTGCGGAGCCTGCCCGCTTTCCGAGTGCTCAGGCTTTCTGGACTTGGGTGAAGTAGAGTCGTTTCCAGTAAGCTGGAGGCTGCTTCCTGTTCTGGTCCTACTTGGGAGGTGAAGTGCGTCGCTCACATTGTCTTACGGTTTAAGCGGACATTTGTTCTGTAGCCTGTGTGCTGGTCCCAGGAAAGGCAAAGAGCTGGAGTTTTAGAGTTTTAGCACTCAGGGACCCCAGACCGAGATGAGACCAAAGGCTGTAGCCAAGGTCTCTGAGAGCACCATAGTGCAGCCGTCGGAACAGCAGGCCCTGCCGGCTGCCGTCTGTCTGTCTTCCTAACTTTACTGTCCGTGGAGAACATCCAGCCTGAAAGAGTAGCATAAGGAAGCCCCATTTCTGAGGACCAGGAGCCACACCCACTCCCCGACTAGGCGGAAACGTTTGGTAATCCACAGCTTTCATTCCGTTTGCACACGTGGAGACATTCGTGCCTGTACCTGGGACCCTGACTGAACAATTTCTTTCTTCAAAGATTTAAAGTTCTTGTCACACAAGTCTTCCACTTGTTTGGCTAGAGTTACTCTGGGATATTTTGTGTTATTTGTGGCTAGTGTGAAGGGTGATGTTTCTTTGATTTCTTTCTTGGCCCATTTATCATCTGTGTACAGGAGGGCTACTGATTTTTTGTTGTTGTTGTTGTTAATCTTGTATCCTGCTATATTACTGAAAGTGTAGAAGTTTCTTGGTAGAATTTTTGGAGCCACTTATGTAAACTATCATATCATCAGCAAATAGTGACAGTTCAACTTCTTTTTTTCCCAATCTGTATCCCCTTGATCTCCTTTTGTTGTCTCATTGTTCTGGCTAGGACCTCGAGTACTATATTGAATAGATATGGAGAGAGTGGACAACCTTGTCTTGTTCCTGATTTCAGTGGGATCACTGTGAGTTTCTCTCCATTTAGTTTGATATTGACTGTTGGCTTGCTGTATATTGCCTTTATTATGTTTAGGTATGTTCCTTGTATCCCCGCTCTCTCCAAGACCTTTATCATTAAGGGATGTTGTATTTTTTAAAATATTTATTTATTTATTTATTTATTTGTTATGTATACAATATTCTGTCTGTGTATATGCCTGCAGGCCAGAAGAGGGCACCAGACCTCATTACAGATGGTTATGAGCCACCATGTGGTTGCTGGGAATTGAACTCAGGACCTTTGGAATAGCAGGCAATGCTCTTAACCTCTGAGCCATCTTTCCAGCCCGGGATGTTATATTTTGTTGAAAGCTTTTTTAGCATCTAATGAGATAATTATATGGTTTTTATTTTTCAGTTTTTGTGTATGGTGGATTACGTTGACAGATTTTTTTGTATGTTGAACCATCCCTGCATCTCTGGGATGAAGCTGACTTGATCATGGTGGATGATGGTTCTGATGTGTTTTTAGATTTGATTTGCCAGTATTTTATTGAGTGTTTTTGCATCAATGTTCATGAGTGAGATTGGTCTGTAATTCTCTTTCTTAGTAATGTCTTTATGTGGTTTGGGTATCAGAGTAATTGCAGCCTCATAAAAAGAGTTTGGCAATGTTCCTTCTGTTTCTATTGTGTGAAACAATTTGAGGAGAATTGGTATTAGTTCTTCTTTAAAAATCTTGTAGAACTCTGAGCTGAGACCATCTGGTCCTGGGCTTTTTTTTTTTTTTGTGGGAGACTTTTGATGACTGTTTCTATTTCTTTAGCAGTTATAGGTCTATTTAATTTGCTTATCTGGTCTTGATTTAATTTTGGTAAGTGATATTTATCCAGAAAGTTGTCCATTTCCTTTAAGTTTTTCAATTTTGTGGAGTACAGGTTTTCAAAAGATGACCTGATGATCCTCCATGTCTGTTGTTATGTCCCCCCTTTCATTTCTGATTTTGTTAATTTAGATATTCTCTCTCTGCCTTTTGGTTAGTTTGGATAAAGGTTTGTCTATTTTGTTGATTTATTTTGAAGAACCAACTCTTTGTTTTGCATTCTTTGTATTGTTTTCTTTGTTTCTATCTTGATGATTTCAGCTCTCAATTTGATTATTTCCTGCCGTCTAGTTCTGTTAGGTGAATTTGCTTCTTTTTGCTCTAAAGTTTTCAAATGTTCTGTTAATTCACTAGTGTGGGATTTTCCAGCTTATTTATGTAGGCGTTTAGTGCTATGAACTTTCCTCTAAACGCGGCTTTCATGGTGTCTAATAAATTTGGGTTTGTTGTGTGGTCATTTTCACTGAATTTTAGAAAGTCTTTAATTTCTCCCTTTATTTCTTCCTTGACCCATTGATGATTAAGATGAGCATTGTTTAATTTCCATCTGTTTGTGGGCTTTCTGGAATAAGTGCTCCTGTTGACATCTAGTTTTAAAGCATGGTGATCTGGTAAGATACATGGTCACTCCATGTCCTGGAGGTTGCTCGGCCCTACCGGGTTTCTGTAAATGTCCCTGGTCTGGATCCGCTCCTGCGGAGGTCCTGACTCAGGCCTACTCCCTCAGAGGTCCTAGACTCAAACCTGGACCTGCAGAGGTCTCTGGTTCTTATCCACTCCCTGGGAGGTCCCAGACTCATGCCTGGACCCTCATAGGTCCCTGACTCAGGCCTAGTTTCACAGAGATCCAAGACTTATGGCTGAACCCACAGAGGTCTCTGGCTCTGGCCCACTCCCTCAGCAGTTGCTCCCCTGCTTCTCTGGAGTTCGCTGTCTCAGCCTTGCTCTGGCCTAGGTCACTGGTCCAGACCTGCTCTCACAAATGTCCCTGGTATGGATCTGCTCCTGCCCATGGAGTTCACTGACCCAGGCTTGCTCTGGTCTAGGTCACTGCCTTAGGCCTGCTCCTGTGTAGTTCTCCCTAAACTTGATTTTTAAAAGTTGAAGTCTGGCATTGGGGGGTTGACTCCATGGTTGAAGACTGATTGTTCCTCTAGCAGAGGACCCTAGTCAGGGCTGCAGCACCTATGCCAGATAATAGCCTGTAACTTCAGTTCCAGGAAGATCCAGTGCTGCCTCTGGCTTCTGCACGTGTGTGTGTGTGTGTGTGTGTGTGTGTGTGTGTGTGTGCGCGCGCGCACGCGTATGTGTGTACATGCACACACACACAGAATTAAAAATAAAACAATTCTTTAAGGTAGAAATCTTGTGGCTCATTGAATGCCAGTACACATGAAGATAAGTTTGGCAGGTTCTTATAGGAGTACATTACAGCTTTTGTTTTCTTGCCTTAAGAAAATATCTCCTGTGGGCTATCAGTGTTATAGAGTTTTGTTTTGTATTAATTCTTCCAACAATTTTAAAGGATTTTGGCCTAGTTTTAGGGCCTTGGGATTTTGACTGTCTAGCTTTGTATAAAAGCTTTTTACCTCATAACTTTGCTCTGTGGTGTCTCTTTTCTGGGTTCTGATGTAGTGTTCACTTTGGCAATGATGTTATTTTTCTTTTCCATTGTTTGCCCGTGAACTTTGCGAGCTCACTGTTGCATTCATTTTCCCACCTCTTAGCGCTCTCTCTCTCTCTCTCTCTCTCTCTCTCTCTCTCTCTCTCTCTCTTTCTCTCTCTCATTGAGATCTTCACACGGAGACATGTTCCTTTAGTAGCACCACCACCATCCTTATCTGCAGGGCCTAATGCTTCCTCTGAACATGTATGTCCATGCATTGGTCATGCTTTCTTCTCTTTTGCAATTTTTTTTGATTGATCCAGCTCTTGACAGTTCCTTGGTCCTTGTGTCCTGACTAGCTGTTGGCCGATGCACGCTGCTGGAGAGGGGCTGTCGTTGAGTCCCTGGAGTCTGAGAAATTCCTGGATCTTGGGTCTTGTCTCTGAGCCTTTTCTCATTAATCCTCCACCCTAAGACCCTGCAACCTGCTCTGTCTAGCGGTGATGCTTAAGCCACAGGGCTTCTTCCTGTGACCCAGTATTTTAAATGTTTCTATCCATTCAGACAAGCTGCTGGAGATCTGGCTTGGTGATGGTGAGTCTGGCTCTGGAGCAAGAGGTGATATTTTGATTTCTGTGACTTGGGATCATGCATTCAAACTCATCCCTCCCCTCCCCTCTTCTCTCCTCTTCTCCCCTCCCTTTCCCTTCCCTCCCCTTTCCATTGACTTTTTCCTCTCCTTCTCCCCCTCTCTTTCCCAGTTCCTATTCTCCTCTCTTTTCTACACTGCTCACTAGTGTAGAAAAGAGTCTCAGACTGACCTTGAACTCGTAATCTTGTTTTCTCCAACTGCTAGATTTATACATGGCAGCAACACTGGGTTTATTTAGTTTCTTCATATACCAGTTTCTCCAGCTGGAAAATGGGGAACAGAGCTCCTGTTTCTGGCTGTTTTGAGGACTGTGGCACATTGCTGCCTCATGGGAGGTCAGCACTCTAGTGGCTGATGCCAGGCCCGTTTTCTCTTCCCGGTTCTACTGGAAGGTAGTCTTTAGTGACCACGTACCTCTTCAGATGGCTCCTGAGTCATGCTTGGCTAAGCCCTTGGGATGAACTTCCCTGAGACAGGTTGTGCGGAATGGACTGAGGCTTTGGTCGCGTCGTGACTGGGGCCATTTTGTTATGCTGGACAGACACGCAGAGTGTCCTGGGCTTAGGCCTGGGACTGTTTTTCCAATTTTCAAAGATGGCTTCTATTTGTTGTTGTTTTCATCTTAGCTTCAAAAGGCAAACAGGGCAGAGGAAGCCTCATTCTCGGCAATGTCTTTAAAAGAGGTTTATATTAAAATTTTGAAAAGAAAATTAAGCTCGAATCGGGAAGGTGGTCCTGTTAGGCACGTGTCCTGTTTTATCTCATTTTATGTTCTACACTCAACAAATACGTATTGAGGGGTGACTGTCAATCAGCACTTCACTAGAGAAACAGAAATACCAGCAAAGGATGCTCAGATTGGCTCGTGGACTCTGTTGACTTGAGGTGACAGAAAAATCTCCAGGTATATAAAGAAATGTACCAGACTGTGCACTGCAGGGTCTCATGAAGAGAGACAACCTTGTTACCTCAGCACTTGGGCACTCTCTCCTCAGTGCTGGCTCCCTGCACACGGTGGGGGCGGGCAAGGACTGCTGGCTCTCTCTGAGATGAGTGTGAAACTGACGGCTGCCTTTTTACTTATAGCACACATTGAACGTCACCACCACGCAAGCCGCTTTGGATGTGTTTCTGCCCAATGGAAAGAGTGTTAACGTGGAGGTTCTAACATCAGATACAGCCGAAAGGGTCCTTGAGGTAAATAAACTCTGCTTAGCTTCAGCTCCAGGGGATGCAGAAACCCCAGGAGCTGCATTTCATAGGATCTAATGCTGGGCACCCCTAGAAGCTGCTTTTCATATGGTCTGATGCTGGGCACCAAGGGCTTGGCCTGAGTCTGAGTAATTTTGAGGATAACAAAAACATTCTCCTGGTTCAGATGTGGCTATCAGCATCTCTGCCTTCTGGGCTGTTTCCCTCTGCCCAGCTGGGTTGCAGAGAGAATGTTGTCTTCCCAAGTCTTAAATGTGTAGCTAGGTGGAGGAGAGGGTGGCCTCTGGTCCCTGCTAAGGGAAGGTGAATGGAGGTGGATTTCTGGGAGGCCACACTCTGGTAAATATGAAGCCACAGATATTGAAATGAAAGGCACCTGTTGTCAAAGAGGAGCACCCTGGACCTGGAGTTGCCGGTGCCCATGGAGCCAAGGTTACATATAATGGTGTCTGAAGTTTACGCTGGACCAAAGCCGTGGTGAGTTAAACTTGACCATGGCAGGAAGTATCAGAGAGAAGCAGGCCTGGATGCCAAAGGAGGGAGGGTACCAGCACGGGCATGTTTATATGCCACAAACATTGGAAAGTGCCTTTTGCTTGGTGTGCACAGCAGTGCAAGCCCCAGGGCCGGATGCTTGCGGAGAATGCCGCCATCCTCCATCTGACAATAAGCACTATAATAACCCAGGACATATGTCCAGATCCAACTCAGGACAGCCAGTCCCAGTGGGCCCAGGGTGTCCCCTGAAGTAGCACTGGCTTGGTTTCTACCCACTCTAGTTTCCTAGGTCCCCAAGATTGTCTAGAGCAATTGTGTCATTAGCTACTTCTCTAGTTGCCCCACAGAGACAGTTTCAGGAAGAAAGGTTTGTTTTGGTTCATGTTTGGGAGGGTGCAGTCTATCACGGTGACACTCACGATGACCGGAATGTGCAGTGGTGACTTCTCACGTCCCAGCAGACCAGGAGAGAGAATCTGGGCTAAAAGTAAAACTGGCTCATAGCCTTTTGGTCCCAGGCCCACAAATCACAAGGGCTCCAAGGTACGAGTTCCCATGATCCTCAAAGGCAGTACCACCAGCTTGGGTACCACGACTTGAGATGCAAGAGCCTGTGGAGGCCGTTTCAGATTCAAACCGTAACAAATATGAGTGAATTTTAGATTCCAGAACGTCTCTCTGAGTGTTTATTGGCCTGCAATGCACTTGCTGCCAGTGTGTACTGGTCTCTTCTAGTTCTGCCTCCACAGCCTGAAGCATGGCCCTTGCTGAATTTGCTTGTTCCTGGCGCAGGTGGTGGCGCAGAAACTTGGACTGTATCCGGAGCTCTTGGGGTACTTCGGTCTGTTCCTCATCCGGTGTTTCCCGGAGGGCAAGCTCTCTGGTAAGATGGTGCTCCAAACAGGATGGGCGGGTGTGAGCAGGGGCTTTCTTTACTCCTTTTCTTAATATTAACTCTCATATCATACACCCAACAGAACGTGGTTAATACCTCTCTCTGCGCTTTTCTATACGTGGTTTCCATAATGAACACAGGTTAGAGAAAGCAGGAAGATACAGAGGTTGAAGAAATGGGTAACAAAAATGCCGTCTAGTCAGTGTTGCTCAGATTAGACCTGAACCAGCAGAGGGAGGAGGCGTTGCTGTAGACCAGGCCTCAGGAGATAGGGTTTGAGAGTAAAGATGTAGTTGGCTGCAGAGAAGGAACAGCAGAAGTGGATCCAGAACCAAGATGGGAGGTCCAGATGGGCAAACAGCATGTGGACAGGCAGACAGCAGCCGAGTTAGCTGGGGTGTCAGGTGACGGGTTGGTGTGGGGCATGCCATCAGTACTGAGAGACATTCATCACTTTATAGGATCCAGGTGAGGGACTTCTACTCGTCTATTAAGTTTTGGAGCTTTGTTTGGTTTTAATATACGCATGTGCCCCATGGCCTTAATTCATCCTGATAGGGCCGCCCCCTTTCTACCATGAAGAAGTCATTTCTCAGTCTGTGCTGGATGGGTGACGTAAGACAGATGGTGGTGTGTGGTCTGCCTTGACTTTGTCAATGTCCACCCTCAAAACGAAGTAGACAGCAAAACAAACAAACAACAGAACACTGTAAAATGGAGTTCCTAGGAGCAAGGTGCAGGCTGAAAAAAAGAACAGTTTTATACAATGTGGAGTAACTCAGAGTAGGGCATAGCCCGGCCTCCACGCCGCCTTTCCCTCTCTAGTTGTGAAGAAGATGGCTGATTTTGAGCTACCTTACACTAGCCTTCAGAGTTCCGAGGCAGAAGACTGGAAGATAGGACTCAGAAAATGGTGAGTACCTGTGAGAGACGCCACTGCCTGAGAATCTGTCTCACCGGGCTTGAGAGGCAGGGCGGGTGGAGTGGCCCGAAACAGAGCGGCGAGAAATTGCTGACCACGCTTTGCCGAGCGATGGGCGACTAGCTGTAGTAAGGGAAGGATGTGTTGCTAGCCCAGGCAGATCAGAGGTCTGGTAACTGTGATAGTCCTTGAAGGCAGAGGGGCTGGCTCCGCCAGTTTGGACTGAATTTGACCCCCTTAAGCATTCGGCTCACATTCCTGAAGGCTATGTGCCAGGGCCACCCACATTTAATTCCTAGATTAGAAGGACACAGTGTCTCTGCAGAAAATGCTGTTATTTTGCGGGGAAATGGAAGTTGCACCAAGAACAAATCAACAGGAAATCTCAATGAAGGCAGAGTACCTTCCCAGCCTCGTCCGACAACCTGCGACCCCAGCCTTCGTTACCATAACTGTGTTGAATGGCTACTCACGTTGGCTCTGTTCATCGTAGTTATTCTGTAATCTGGGGATACAAACTTAAAAAAAAAAAAAAAGGAGCCTTGAAATCCAGGAATTGTGCTTGACCAATGAGACCTTGCTGGGTCTAGCTTGGGGCTTTGGATTCTAAAGGGTTAACCCCAGTTACTCAGAAACATTTGAGAAATCGCTAAAACCTTTTGTACTGGATATCTGAGAAGGGGAAAGGACTCTGCTTCCATCTAAGGGTTTAGATGATCCCGGAGCTGCTTTCAATGCTGTGTGTCTGAGCGCGGCTGTTCCTAGGTCAGAGGGTACACGCTGAGACCCGGTTCGCCACGCTTTCAGTCAAGTTATTTGAGCACTTTAAGCCTCAGTTTACATATGTGTAAAATAGGAGAACAGTCCTCCTAGGACTCCTGTGAGTATTAAGGCAGTCCACGTGCTCAGTACATTTTTTTATTATTTTTTTTGTTTTTTCTTTTTTTAAGATTTATTTATCTACTATGTGTACAGTATTCTGCTTGCATATATGCCTGCAGGCCTGAAGAGGGCACCAGATCTCATTACAGATGGTTGTGAGCCACCATGTGGTTGCTGGGAATTGAACTCAGAACCTCCGGAAGAGCAGCCAGTGCTCTTAACCACTGAGCCATCTCTCCAGCCCCCACTCAGTACATTTTGTTATTGTTTACTGTTGTCGTATCGATAAGAACGATGACAGCGTACCAGCTAAAAACTCACGTACAGAGGAAGCAGGACGAGGACAGAGCAGGGATGCAGGAACACATCAGAGGTTAGGCAAGTACAGTGGTATAGGTTTATGGGAGGAGGGGACCCGGTTCCCAGGGTGGAGCATCGAACTCTGCGTACATCCCTAGGTGTTCCTCAGGGATCATGTAATCGTGCAGGTACCTGGACCCCGCCCTGGACTCCGTGCTGATGGACTGCAGAGCGGCTGGAGACCTGCTGTACATGCAGGTGAGGTTGGCGCTGGCCACTGGGGCTGGAACTGCACAAGCCCCTCGGATAGAACGGGATGGCATTCCCACAGAAGTCACATGCGTTCTCCTGTGAGCTTTAAACCTTTAGATTACGTACAACACCGAGTTCATGAAAACGCCATACAAGCAGTTGTTACCTGCTTTGTTTGGGAAACAGTGATGAGAAGCCGGTGGGTGCACATCCGTGTAGACACGCTTTGACTCCACGTCTCTGTCACCCCCGCACGTTCAATCCAAGGACGTGGAACCAGCAGATTCTGAGTGTGAACTTGTGTGTGTGTGTTTGCTGCTAACCATCAGTTAAACTATCTCATTTTTATATACAATAGCAGTATTAGCTTTATCCATATACTTTTTCCCACACCTTTTTTGTTTTGTTTGTTTTAAGACAGGGTATAGCTTTGTCTGGCCTGGAAGGTGCTATGTAGACCAGACTGACTTTGAATTCACAGAGATCCTCCTGCCTCTTCCTCCTGAGTGACGGGGTTATTGTGTTTGGCTCCTTGTATTTATGAATCTTATATGTGGTTTTAGATTTGTATTGCCAGGTTACTTGTAGAAAATTGTATGAATTTAATCTATTGTGTATCACACTGTTTCTCTCAACCTGTCAGCTCTAACTGCGCATGTTTTAGCCTTGTCAAGTCAAGAGGCAAAACACTCTGATTACTAGTGAGACTGTGTGTGTATGCATTTGCCATCTGGAAACCCTCTTGGTCAACTGTCAGTATTGAACTGTGCTCCGTTTTTGGTGATTTTACGTGTGTCCTGTTGTTCTCTGTAAATGTTAACCCTTTGCCTGGTTTAGTACTTACTTTTTAGCTTAGTTCCCGGTGTTTTGTGTACAGAAATTTGTACTTATGTATAACTACATATGATTTTGCCATTATATGTTAAAAAGATGGTCTTTCCACCAAAACAAACACATTCATCTTTAATTTTCTACTTTAAAAATGATTCATTTCTTAAAATCATACATGTGCATGTCTGCGTATAGGTTTGTGCATGGAAGTGCAGGTGGCTGCGATGACCAGAGGCATTGGGTCCCTGGATCTGATGTCACAGGTGCCTGTGAACCATCTCATACTCTAAAGACCAGCATATGTTATTAACTGCCAAGCCATCTCCCCCACCCCTTTTCTGCCTTTAATGGTGTTTTATACCTTAATCTCTTAGGAAGTTATTTGACTGGATGGAAGTTACTTTGGCTTTCTTTGTCAAGTATTCTTATTGTCCTAACTGTAGAGAACTCTTTCCTCCTTGCTAATTGAATTGGCACTAGGCCAGCTGTGCATTCCAGGTATCCGGGCACTTTGGAGGTGGAGTTTGAGGCCAGCCTGATCTATATAAAGAGTGCTCAATATTAAGACCTTATCCCAGGCCTGGAGAGATGGCCCAGGGGTTAAGAGCACTGACTGCTCTTCCTGAGGACCTGGGGTTCAATTCCCAGCACCCACATGGCAGCTCACAACTGTCTGTAACTCTAGTTCCAGGGGATCCAACACCTTAATTCAGACACACGTCAGCAAAACAATACCAATTGCACATAAAATAAAGGTAAATTTTTGAAAAGACCCCATCTCAAAACAAAACAACAAAAAGACAATCTTTATAATCTGTCAAATCATTATGTAGATCCATTTGGGTCTAGGTCATTAGCCCTTTATATAGGTTAATTAATTTTTACTAAGGTTGTTAATTATATAATTATGCTGTTTTTAAGGCAGTACAGGACATTGAAATAGAATGGGTGAAACCCACACAGGTTCAGAGGGAGGAACTGAAGGCACTCCAGGAGAAAGAGAATCAAACAGAGGTGAGTGTTGCATTGTAGCAAGAGCTGTCCTTTGGAAGCGAGCTCCTGCACGCGCTAGCCGAGCTCCTGCACGCACTAGCCGAGCTCCCGCACACGCTAGCCGAGCTCCCGCACACGCTAGCCGAGCTCCAGCACGCGCATGCGCTAGCATCCAGTGTTGCTATCAGTCACAAACCCATCGAGCACTGAAAATGGGAGTTCCTCCCCTGATCTTTCTGACTCTATAATTAGGAAAAGTTTACTGTGTAAGGACTCTGAAAGCATACAGTATATCGAGTTAATTAATATAGCTCCTCCACACCATTACATAAGGGTCGAGTATTCTCCTTTGGGGTTGAGATATCGCGCAGCCAGCCTGTTCCCTTTCACCGGAAGTCAAGCTGTTAACAGCTTTCTCTGCTACGAATCTCTTGGGCATCAAGCACCACATGTAGACCCGGGCCTGCGTCTAATTTACACTGCCTCGTCCTACTCCTGTGTGAACTCCCGGTGATGGGACAAACACGTTAGCTAGGACCTTGTGCTCGCGCAAGGAGGCTGAACTGAGGAACTGATGAGTGAAATGACCCAGAGGAATTTGATATAAGCCAGAGAAGAGCTAACTGGGACTCTGGCCCACTGTTCTTATAAATAAAGTTTTGTTGGCACACAGTGGCGCCTTTTCATTTATGTGTGTCTAAAGTCATTTTTGTGCTGCGGTGAAAGACATATGGCGTGGCTATAGACAGTAGGCTCCCTAATGGCCTTACACATCCTAGGCTAGTGTTCGCACTGGAACACCAGCCCCGAACAGTGTGGGCATCTCAAATGAAAATAAGTAAACATGCCATCCATGGCTATGTGCGTCGAGTTGGCTTTTTAAGGTACTTTGTGTTACTTAAAAGATTTGTTTCTATTAGTGTGTGTGTGTGTGTGTGTGTGTGTGTGCTCACAGAGGCCAAAAAAGGGCATCAGATTCAGGAGTTGGTGTTAACCAGTGGTGGGCTGCCTGGTGTGGATGCTGGGAACGGAACCCCTATCCCCCGTGTAAGAGCAGCAAGTGTTTTAACCACTGAGCCATCTCTCTAGCTCCAGATATAATGTTCTTAAAAGAATGGCGTCTTCAAGTGTATAATCCTTAAGATTTCTACCCTCTGGTTTCCGCAGGTTAGCACCTCCTGTCAAATGGCCAGGGCCAACGGGTGTCTGGATTAAGTACACTGGGTACAGTTAATAGTCATCAACCGTCTCCCGACATTGCTTTACTGTTAATTAAATACGTTCACTTCCTTTAATCCACAACAGCTAGAAGTTTATTGACTTTTCAAAAGGTCTTCCTTCCTTCTCCCTTCTTTTCCTGCGGTGCTGGGATTGAACTCAGGCCTCATACACACTGGCAAGAGCTCTGCCTCTGAACCATCCCGGCCTTTATTTCAAATTTATTCTTTAAAAAAAGGGACAAGAGTTGTGCCAGGAGATAGCTCGGTGAGTGAGAGAACTTGCCGCTCTTGCAGAAGACCCAAGTTTGGTCCTCACACGGGCATGCTGGTTCACAGCATCTACAGCACCCCCCACCCCACCCCAGGAGATCCGCTGTCCTCCTCTGACCTCCACGGACACACACAAGACGCACAAACTTGCAGGCAGGCGGAACCCTTCCTATTGCTACAGAATCACATCTACTCTTTTGTTTTCTCAACTCTGATCTTGGTTCATTAGCTGAGTGTGTTGGCTCCAAGGTCTAAACAGGAGTGGGGTTAGGAGTCAGGGCGGGGGAGAAGGCAGGACTAAGAGCCTCATTTGGACGCTCTAGAAGCAGAGAGCTTTGTTGTGAATACCCCCCCCATATGTGGGTTTCACCAGCAGGCAGCAGTACGCTCCCTCCACCCCTATCTCCTCCTCCCTCATCTCCCCCACACCCATGAGCTCTGTATCTTGTTTCCTTCTCCCTCACCCCACCTTGGAGTAGTTTCTGGAGCGGTCCCAGGAGGTCCGGCACTATGGGTACATTCAGCTGGATCCCTGTACCTGCAACCACCCCGAACCCGGCTGCACGGCTGTACTTTCCATTGGCAACAACGAGATCAGCTGCTGTGTGACCCTGCCTGACGGCCAGACCCAGGACATTGCTTTCCAGATGAGCGGAGTAAAGTGCTGGCAGGTCACTTTCCTTGTGAGTATCTGGCACCTCGCTTTGTCAGCCCTTTGAAGTTTTTCTCTGTGTGCTTCGTCTTGGAGACGCAGGACTGGTCTCAGGGCTTCACACCGCGTGCGTGTGCACGGATATCTGTTCGGACAGACACTTCACAGGAGCTCCCCCTCGTGGCGATCTGCTCACAAACCCTGACCTCGGCTTCATGTTCCTCCCCTCTCACCTCAGCAGGCTTCTGTCTTCTCTGGGTTCTCTAGCCCTAGGGGTGGAGCAATTGTGGGGCTCACTTTATTTATTCCCTGGACAGTTATTGCCCAGTTTGCTCTCCACGCAGATGCTCTGAGGCTAACGTATCTAGGACATGAATCAAGTCTCATTATCATCTTGTTTCGCCAACTCTCTTAAGGAATGCCCGCTGTCCTCGGTGAAGTCTGCAGTCCTTAGCTTTGTTTGTAAAGCTATGAGAGCCAAGCCCTTCGCTAGCCAGCACTAGACCCCTGTACACCCAGTTCTAGTAAGCAAAGGACTCGGTGGAAGGGTGCGTGTCGACCACTCACATGTCCAAAGGAAAAAGGCTGAAAGTCGGGAGCCAAAGAACTTGGGGTTTCCAGGCAATGGGAACTTTGTGGGGACCTTCTACTTGGGCATCTCAATTCTGAAGTCTAGTGAGAACTGAGTGATTGTCCAGTTGCCCTAACCTTGGCCATGTGCCTTTCTCTGAGGGGTCTTCACAGCCTACAGTGGAAGAGGAGGCTTTCCTAAGGGAGCTTGAGCCTCCATTACTAGGAGAAACAGGGATAGATGCTGTTTACACAACCTGCATCCTTCAGAATCTCCCTCTAGCCTAACTCTCTGGGCCTCCTACTCACAGCCCACTTGCTTGGAGCCCAAGCCACAGCCATGCCCAGTCCCTCACAGCATCTCCAACCTTCAAGCCTCCTTCGGCAAACTCAAGGGTCTGACCTCACTCTTTATTCTACCAGGAATTGCCGTTCACCTTCCCTTCTTACAAGATGAAGCCACCACGACAAACTTGGACAGTGCCTACTTCTGCTCTCATGCCCCTCCTTCCAGGACGTCTCCCTCCACCCTTCTAGCCTGGGCTACGCTCTGCTGCCTTCTGCACACCCACAGCTGGCTCCTTTCCAAGGCTCCCTGTGTCCTTCCTGTGCTCCTTTCCCCCATGGTCCCTGGGAGATTGGCAGCCTTGGGGAAACCATGCTTTCTTCACATCAGTCTATCCCAAGGCACCTTAGTGATCCCTTTCCTCTCCAGGGAACTCTGCTGGATACAGAGGGGCCCCAGCGAACTCTCAACCAGAACCTAGAGCTGAGATTTCAGTACAGTGAAGACAGTCGGCAGCAGTGGTTCGTCATTTACACCAAACAGGTGAGTTCTCAGGGTGGGGCGTGAAAGCCGGTTGTGCCGAAGTGCCTGGCCTGCTGGTCGGCATACGCAGGCACGGGACCGAAATACTTTGTTTTTATTTTGCTTTATTTTCCTGGTCACTGTGGTCATGAATTCAATGAATGTAGTTGATGTGATGGCCAGCTCTGAGTTGAGATAAATCACACAAAAAAGGCTTATTTCAGCTCTCGATTCCAGTGGCTTCAGACTGCCGGCTTGGCACCATCACCTGTGGTGAGGCAAAGAGAGAAACGTGTGGTGGACCAAACTGTCTCAGGTCCAGCAACAGGAAGCAAAGAGAGAGAGGGGATGGGTACTGATGTGTCCAAGTAAAATAGAGAGACCCCCCAAAAGTAAAGAAAACATTCACAAACAAATCCTCCTATCTTAGCTATTTCAAGTTAGAATCAAAATTCCAGGTGAAAAAAAATATTAATTAAAAAAAATAAAGGGACTGGAGAGATGGCTCAGCAGTTAAGAGCACTGGCTGCTCCTGCAAAGGACCTGGATTCAGTTCCCAGCACCCACAGCCACTTGTGACTCCAGCCCCAGGATATCCAACACCCTCTCTGGCCTTTGAGGTCAGCAGCATGCAGGCAAAAACGCATGCACATAAATAAGAAAATAATAACTCTTTTTTTTTTTTTTTTGGTTTCTCTGTAGCTTTGGATTTAGAGCCTGTCCTGGAACTAGCTCTTGTAGACCAGGTTGACCTCGAACTCACAGAGATCCGCCTGCCTCTGTTTCCCGAGTGCTGGGATTAAAGCTGTGCCCCACCACTGCCTGGATGAAGATAATAACTCTTAAACTAAGCAAATTACTCCAGGTGTTCTAATTCTAATAAAAATATCAGGTAAACTTTACATTGATGTTGTGTTCAACCTGAGCCCTGCTTAGCTCCACAGAGAACTTTGGTTTCTGGTCACCAATGTCTACCTCCAATACCGATGTGGTCGTGATGTCCTCCCTCTAAAACACAGAAAGTACGAAACTGCAATACTAAGTGAAGGAAATGGTCCTTAGGGTGTCCTAGTTGGGGTTTCTGTTGCTGTGATGAAACACCAGGACCAGAAGCAACGTGGGAGGAAAAGGATGATTTGGCTCACACTTCCCCATCACGGGGTGATGCGCTGAGTCACACTGCAGCTTCCATGAGGAGATTTTCTCTTTTTTTTTTTCTTCTTAAATTTTGTTTATGTTTGAGGGGGGTTTGCAAGGGCAGAGGGGGAATACAAAGGGATGGAAACTGAATGGGATCGAGATGCCTGATGTGACAGACACAAAGATAAAAGAAGTTAGAAAGTGTTTCTGTAAGCCAGGCATGGCGGCACATGCACCCAGGACAGCCTGGTCTACAGTTCCAGGCCACACAGAGAAACCCTGTCTTGAAAACGGAACAAACAAAAAGCAAAAGTTTTCATAGTTTCTCCCAAATAGACAGGTTAGTACCTATGCCTGATGAAGAGTCTCCCGATAATTGTTATACCATTAAGTGGAAGGTTTATTTATTTAGTGGAAAGAGCTTGTTGCTTATGAGACACAAACTGCTCATAGTGCCGTAGAAATGTGGGTTAAGAGGGGAAACAATTAGGAATGGGATTTTGGCCTATTTATTCATCTGTCTTTAAATGTTCCTACATTCTTGCAATTTAGGCAACCTGTTTTCCTGCTAATTACATTTTAAGTCCATTTCTGAGAAAATTAAAGACAAAATTCTTTAAAATGTGCTGGTGAGTTTTAGCCTCCATATGCAGTGAGAAGGAGAAGGAGGACCTCGAGCTGAGGGAGGGTTTTATTGTTTTAAAGATTTGCTTGTTTTTATTATTTATTTATTTGTTTGTTTGTTTATTTATTTTGTTTTTTTGAGACAGGGTTTCTCTATGTAACAACCCTAGCTGTCCTGGAACTAGCTTTTGTAGACCAGGCTGGCCTCGAACTCAGAGATCCGCCTGCCTCTGCCTCCCGAGTGCTGGGATTAAAGGCGTGCACCGCCACCGCCCGGCTGTTTTTATTATTTTTAATGGTATGGATGTTTGTGTGTCTGTGTAGTGTGTGCATGCAATGCCCAAGGAGACCAGAAGAGGGCGTCAGGTCCCCTGGAACTGGAGTTACAGGCCGTTGTTAGCCACCACGTGGGTGATGAGATTCAGACTTGAGTCCTCAGGAAGAGCAGCCAGTACTCTTAACTCCTGAGCCGCCTCTCCAGCTCTGTGTTTCTGATTGTTTATTTTGTTTGTTTAAGACAGGAGGCTCATTATGAAACCCTGGCTGGCCCAGAACTCACGAGACCAGGCTGACCTCAAACTCACAGGAATCCTCCTGCCTCTGTATCCCGAGTGCTGGGATCAGAGGCGAGCGCCACCACCGCCCGGCCTAAGAGCAATCTCTATTTCCGGGTTTCGTAGGCTTTTTTCCTGAGTAGCTGCCTGAAGAAGATGATCTCAGAGAAGATGGCGAAGCTCGCTGAGGAGAACCCAGAAATGGTACGAACCCCAGAAGCCCAGAGTTTGAGGGTCTTGTCCTCCAGGGAGGCAGCTCCAGCTCACAGTGGTCATCTGGTTGTGTTACTGGAGTTGTTAGGGGAGAGCCTGGGTCCTTGGCAGCTCTCCCACACTGGCTTTTAAGCAGTCAGCAGTGGAGAAAAGCAGGGAAGGGAGTTCATCCCACTCTGTAGAGTGGGTCTGAAATCCAACCAGAAAGCAGTAACCTTCCTGTTACCAGCAAACCAGTGGGCGCAAGGCCTGTTTTACAGCAAGCAAGGCCCACTGATGGCGTTTCTCCCCTAGTGACCTATATAGCTCTTCCTGATACCATGGAAGGTAGCCAGTCGGGAGGAACTTTTGAGGTCGGTTCTAGGTTGACTTCTCTACGTCCTGCAATGGAAGTGCTTTAGTCTTTAGTGATAGGGTCGCACTATCTATATACGGTGAGCATCCAGAGGCAATGGCGATCCTCTGCTGTTTTGGGTGCCTCCAGGGCCCTTCTGGCCAATCTCACAGGGAACCATATACTCCTCAGTGAGATTTTCATGTAATTATTACCCAGATCTTCCAAGGGCAGCTTGTCCACCCATGCAGGATACATTCACTCAAATGCCCTTTCTTCTTTGAATTATACATTTTTAATTAGCTTAAAAATTGTGAGTTTTGGCCGGGTAGTGGTGGCGCATGCCTTTAATCTCAGTATTCAGGAAGCAGACACAGGTGGATCTCCATGAGTTCGAGGCCAGCTTGGTCTGTTCTACTGAGTGAGTTCCAGGATAGCCAAGGCCACACAAAGAAATCCTGTCTCAAAAACAGAACCAAACCAAAAAGTTGTGATTTCATGAATATTTTTCATACTTTCTTCATTTTTCTTAATCCACTCAGTCTCCTCCCTGAATCCTGGCTACAGCTTTCCTCCCGGTTCTCACATCTCGTGTGTTCTGCTTTGCCCTCTGCTTTAAGACCCCCCCCCCATCTAGCGTTGAAGTCAGGAGTTTGAGGGGATCATTTAACACAGCAGGGGTGATCTTCAGCAACTTCCCCAGAAGGAATCCATAGCCCCTTGACACTTCCTGTCTACCAAGCAGGAAGCCACAGAGTGAAAGAAACTCTGAGGTCAGTTGTTTTTGTTTGTTTGTTCATTTTTTCCTCCGAATAAACTTTATTTTTCTGGTCTGCATATTTCCACCAAAGGCCTAGTACCTTAGGCTTGGTCTATATGCTGTAAAACAAAATAAGAACAAACCTGCGATTCTAGACTTTTCTGATTATCTTATCATTACGATATAACCATGTTCCAAATAAGATAGGACATGTTGGTGGGCATGTGTGTTGGTAAATTTAATATTTTTACAGAGGATTACATTGATCCTTTTTTTTTTTAAATGTGTGAGTGTTTTGCCTACATATATGTAGGTGTATCATGTGCCTGCCTGGGCCCATGGAGGCAGGTCATCAAATCCTGAGGAACTGGAGTTGTAGATGCTTGCGAGCCACCGTGTAGGCACTGGGAACTGAACCCCAGTCCTCTGCAAGTGCTTTTAACCACTGCTCTGTCCCAGGCCCATGCAGTCATCTTTAAATTACCATAGAAAACGTTGGAGCTCTTTCCCTAACGTTTTTATTTAGCTTTAATTCTCCAGAAGCAAATGGGCGGCATCTTCGCTTCAACATTAATCATTACAGCTTGTTTCTCTAAGAAACCAAATGTGCTCTGGACTTCATTTCTCTTCTGGATCCAAAAATATCTTTTTAGGGCAAACCAATCCGCTGTCTCCTGGTGACTGAACTATTCAAGCTGCACTAGAGAGCAGTCTGTGAAGGAGGCTCTTTGTGAAAAGAGTCATAAAATCCACCCTCTCAGGCACAGCAGTGTCTCCTAGGCTTTGATTATCGCCTGTGTATAAAAGAAGAAAGAAAAGTAATTAACTGGAGGAGGCTTTTTGAAAAGAGAGACGTGCCCTCAGATGCAGGAGAATAATATGGCCACTTGATACAGGAAGTCCTCGGACAGTGAATAGCAGAGGAACCAGCTCAGTAAAATCCACACCGGCCGCACGCCTGCAGCTCACACGGCAGAGCTTCACGTTTCCATTCATTTCCATGAACGACATCAGAGCAGGCGTAGACTGGCTTCAACAGGTTTTGTTTCCACGAACTCTTCACTTAATTTTATTTATTTATGGCTTATTTATGTCTATGGATTATTCTGGTTCTTGGAAAGACATTGCCTTCAAAGACAAACCACATTTCAAGCTGAATTCTCCAAACCTTGAGTAAAAGGAAGTCTGACATGGAGGCGGGCTGAGCCCTGTGAAATCACAGCTCAGTGCCGGGCCTCTTGAGGACCATGGACTAAAGTCATTTTGTGACTTAAAGTGGCGATAGAAATGCAAGGCAGTGACATTTGCTTGTTTTCTGAGCAAATATGCCCTGGGAAGAACACACATCCCTTACAGAACTCTGTGGACTAAGGCAGACGGTCTCTATTTAGTGAGCGGATTCTGAGTCCAAAGGTTTGATAAGGTTGAAGACTCTGAGGCAAAGGGGAAAACCCTGGAGAACTTTAACCAAATGAGCCCCCACGGTTAATCTGACAGCCACCAGAAATACGGGGCTTTCCCATTTAGATGGGATGAATGGGGGAAGACATTTGGCGTCAAATCAAAACTCATTAGTCCTGTTAGTTTACATAATGATTTCAAATTTAAGGCTTGAGATAGGAAGATGGCTCCGTGAGCTCAGATCCCCAGCCCACACGGAAAAGGCGGGGTGGGAGGAAGGAGACAGGGAGCAGAATTACAAAGATGTTTTATTTTAAAATAAAGTATATTAGGGTAAAGTTTAGCTGCATATATCAGGAAGCAAAATAAGTGTCTCTGCTAAGTTTCTGTTGCTGTTCTAGCACACTGACCAAAAGCAACGCGGGGAGGAAAGGGTTAGGTCAGCTTGCAGCTTACCACCGTGGAAGCCAAGGCATGAGTCTGTGGGGCAGGAACGAAGCAGAGACCACGGAGAGCCCCTCGTGCTGGCTCGCTGCCCACGGCTTGTTCAGTTTGTTTTCCTATACACTCCAGGAACACCTGGAGTTCCACAATGGTCTGGCCTTCCCACATCAATTATTAATCAAGAAAATGCCCCACAGGATGGTCTGATGAAGGCATTTCCTCAACTGATGTTTCCTTAGACACGTCTAGGTTCCTGTCCAGTTGACAAAAAGAAAAGGAAAAGGAAAAAACCAAAAGCCAAAAAAAAAAAAAAAAAAAAAAAAAGCCCAACCAAGACAGCAAGTATCTGAACAGAATAGAAGTGTGCTTTTCTCTTGTCTAGAAGCTCAGGTAAGCCTCGTCTAGGGCGGGGCTGTGGAATCACAGTGTAAGTAGGGACTTTCCTGCTGTCCTACCGTCAGCGTGAACATCCGCCTCTTAACACAGCTGTCGGCCCAGCCATTATGTCCACGGTCCCAGCCTGCAGGCCTGGGAAATATGAACGAGGACTCCTGTCCTTAAGGCAGACTCTCAGAAGTCTCCTGTAGACTTCATGCCTCTGGTTCAGCAGCCAGTTACCCCAGAGGCTGTTGGAGTCTCCGGCATTTTCCTTTCTGCCTGTCATCCTAAGCAATAACAGTTTTCTTTGGGGAGACAAAGTACCCATTTAAAAGTTATGCTAACCAGAGCCTTGAAGGCAGGCGCTGGCCTATGATGTGAGGAAATCTTGGCCGCTCAGCAGAGGTGTAAGCTGTGAGGCTTCTGGCAGCCCTCCTGAAGGATGCAAGTTACTCTTCAGACCTTCAATGGCGTGGGGTGCTGGGCCCTGCTGGGAGAGGTACAGTCCCTGGTGTTCAATAGTTTGCAGGTGTGCAGGTCACAGGCAGGTGTGCAGGTCACAGGCAGGTGTGCAGGTCACAAGCAGGTGTACAGATGCCAGACAGGCGTGCAGATGTCAGGCAATGTGCCTGCTGACTGGCAGTTGAGGGGTCATTGGGGGCATGACTGTGGAGGGGGAAATGTGTTGGTTAGTGGATTATTCATGTGCTGGGTTCCCTGAGCTGCGCTGACATTTTGCTAACCCATTTAGCAGATCGAGGTTCCAGAACAAGGCAGAAGTAAGAAGCAGCCGAACCAGGTCTGTGAGTAAAATGACGTCATGGATGTGTTGTCGTCAGGTGCCTTCCTCCCCCCCCCCCCCCCCCCACCTTTCAGCAAAGTCCTTGGCATTCAAGCTTAAGTAAGGTCGCTGGCCGCTTCTTAGAAGCCCCTGTACAGACCGCGCGAAAGCGCAACCAGGTCCAGAACCGCCTGTTTCTTCAGCTGGGCTTGCTTCAGGTTCAACGCGAGACCCTGATTCAAAAAATAAAGTGGAAACTGAGGAACACATCTGATGTCAACCTCGGGTCTCCACGTGCTTGCACACGTGCACACACACTTGCACACACGCACACACTCGCACATGCACGCACACACACTTGCATCGAGAGCTTATTAAGTACTGATAGCAAATAAGTTCTTAAAATGTTTCACATGACTTTTTTTTAAAGTCTGTGCTTCTGTGAGCAAGAAAATGATACGAAGAACTGAAATTCACAAGGAGTAGGGAGGAACGGGCGGGCAGGGAGGAATAGGGAGGCAGAATGTTGGTTCTGGGAGTCAGAGCTTCCTGAGCAGGCCAGCAGGGGGCGCCGCCCTCCGTCCTACCCTAGTGCAGGATAAAGGTACAAAGTAATCCTTGCTTACACAGATGTAACCTTTTGTAGCTGTTGTAACTATTTTGATACTTTTTCAACCTCCTTGAGGTTTTCTTGTTCTTAGGGAAATTTCTTCCTTTCCTTTACATTTCTGATCTCTCTGTTTATTTTCCAGCCGAAAGACTATTTTAATTTTCTGAGAAAAAGCAAGGCGAAGAAAGTTGAAGACGACTGTGTTTGGGGAACCCTCACGGAAGGAGGTCTCTGAAGGGAGTCTCGTCAACTGTCTTAAGACAGTGCCAGAGTTTGGGAGATGGCCTTCCCACTTCACTTCCTTTGACACTGAGGTGCCCTGTGTCCATCACTTTAACTGTAGCGTTCTGTAACTCTCGGGATTAAACGGTGTAGAAACCAGAGCTATAGCATTGGCTGAAGTGGCAGTTGGCAGGTTCAAATCCACCAACGGAAGGTTTGTTCTATGTTCCCTCTAAGGTAGATGTGGATTCAGCTCCTTTAAGCCTTTTGTATGTTCTGATTTTGAAGGTTTAAAAAGCTTATTTTAAACTATATTAATGCATTTATCACCAAGGTAGATTCACCATCCTCAGAAAAAATATGACTTCTCTGACCTTGTCAGCGAGTAGGAAGAGGTGGCAGAATTCTGATCCACTTCCTCACCTGCTTGTGAGTTTACTAACTCAGGTGACCTAAAGTAACAGCTGCCCTGGCCTAACTCCCCTCATGGCATGGCTGTAGTCCACTCTGCTTTTTTTTTTTTTTTTTCCCCCAGACAGGATTTCTCTGTGTGGCCCTGGAACTTGCTCTGTAGACCAGGCTGGCCTCGAACTCACAGAGATTGTATCCACCTCTAGATTTTATTCTGGGCCTGGAAAGATGGCTCAGTGTTAAGAACACTTTCTGCTTTTGCAGATGACCTGGGTTCAATTCCCACAGCGCTCATAGTGGCTCACAACCACCTGCAACTCCAGCTCCGGAGAAGCCGACATCTTCTGCCTCCTCGGGCACACCACACATGTGACATACATACATATAAATAAAAACAAACAAAACTGAATTCTACCCAATAATCATACCAATTTGAATATTTTTCTTTTGGAAATCAAAAAAGTCCTGCACGGACATCTAATATAAACCTCTTAGCTTTACAAATGTAAATAACTTTTCCTTATACAGTTTCTGGTATATGATAGTAATTAACATAATTGTCTATGGAATTAAGAGCAAAGTAAAGAGGGAAAGATAAATATGCAAAAATAACTAGGTACTAGTGTAATATTCTAATGTTCTTTTCTGAGTTAGCTAAATATGAAATAAATATAAAATCTAATGAACATGAAGCTTGTTGATGAAAATTGTGTATTTATTTTGAAATGTAGAGTCTTGAGTTCTCTAATATATATAAACCAATGCTTACAGCCATAACTTCCTGGACGTTAAAGATTTGAGTTTGTGTTCTAGGCTGTAGTGGGATCTCTGCAGAGACATTCTGCTTCACCCCTACTGGGTGGATTAGTGTGTCGTGATCACCCTCAGAGTCTGATGGAAGCTTATCACCAACTGAGGATCAGTCAGGATCCATCCAAACCTGCACAGTGTAAGGGACCATCTCAGACCCATCCAAACCTGCGCAGTGTAAGGGACCATCTCAGACACTGGGACAAAGGGTTTGTGTTTGGATTAGATTGAACACATGTGACTACTGCTTTTATAGGTCAATCTGATGCCCATTTTATGTTTCGGTTTGACATATGAGAATAAGTCATCCTAGAGAAGATGTAGTGACCCTGCACCAAGGGCTCCGTGAGAGATCTTGGAAAAAGAACAGATAATGGGGAGGGGGAGGGGTCTCCTAGCCAGAGGGAAGAAGAGTCAGAGGTGGGAAAGAGAATGGTGCTTAGGAAATGGGCAAAGCTGCTCTTCTCTGGTGGACCTTCAGGCTAAGGCTGGGCACGTGGTTCTCATCTGTAATCCCAGCACTCGGGTGGCTGAGGCGAGAAGATCACAATTTCAAGGCCAGCCAAGTGCCTGTCTCAAACAAAGACCACGTGGTTTTATGTTAGGGTAGTCTATAGTAAGTAAGAGGAGACAGCGCCTGCTACGCTACGCCTGCTTCCCAGCAGTGTGAGCCGAGCCTCCTCTGTCTACGATTTCTGCCCTGAACGCCGTGTTGTCTGCATGCAGCACCCGCCTGGAAGACAAGAAGCACCGCAAAGCATTTCGATCCCCAGCGTCCAGGACCTGGGAAGTTCAGCTGATTTCAGAATCTAAAGTCTTGGTCATCGTTCGTGAATCTGCACCACAGCTATTGGAGTGGTCAGTTCTGCTGCCGGGCCCGAGAGAGCCGTCAAGAGAGTTAAGTGATCACAATTTGTGGAAAACCCAACCAGGTTCAAGCTGTGGTGAGAAAACATAGAAGAGAAAGATCCTACAATAGCAAATGGGGGAAAACCGCGAAAACCTTGTGTGTGCGGTGCCAATCAGGCAAACAGAGAGAGCGGTTGTAGGAGACACAGTGGAGATCGCCTTTCCTTCGGGGATGACCTCATGCCTGTCCTCAGTGAGCCAAAAGCTCCAAGGAAAAGGTGAGTGTTGCACAAGACTAAAATGTGCTGTACGAACTTAGAAAACACTAGAGTTCGCGATCGTGGCTTTTGGTCTCCCCTTTACTCCAACCTTTACTGAGGTGCAACTGTGCTTTGCTGACAAGTTTATCTTTAATATAAGAAAACACAGATGTGTCTTTTCCAGAGTTCTGGAAGCTGGGAAGATCATTAAAAAGATGCTGACAGTTCACCATTTCCTGAGGGTGCTCTTTGCATCCCAGAGGTACCTGCTCCCATCCTCACACAGATGGGGGAGTGTTATCATTTATAAAGACGTGTGAGTGACCCAAGGCCAGCTGGCAGGGCACTGGTGGGTCACCTGAGGCCTCAGTGGGTCCCTGGCGGGTGGGAGGCCTTTGTGGGAGACTGACAGATACACCATGAAGTTTAGGTATAGAATTTATTTAGTGGGTTATGGAGGGGAAAGGGAAGAGAGAGGGAGGGAAGGAGAGAAGAGGGGGAAGAAGAGAGAGAGGCAGTAGTTACCTCTTCAGAAGGGGGACATTAAGAGAGAGAGCAGGCTGGAGAGGAGGTGGAAGATCCAAGGGGGAGATTGTGAGTAGGTGGGGTTTGTCTCTTAAAGGGACAGGGTACTCAGGTGACAGACCAGGTCAGTTGATTATAACCTGTAATTATGATTATAACATGTCTACCTGTAATCTATCTATCATCTATCTATCACCTATTGTATGTGTAGGCAGGTGCATGTTTGTGTGCATTGCAAGTTTGCCTGTCTATCTATCTATCTACCTACCTACCTATCACTTATCTATCTATCTATCTACTATCTATCACCTATCTATCTATCTATCTATCTATCTATCTATCTATCTATCTATCTACTATCTATCTATTTATCTATCACCTATCTATCTATCATCTATCTATCGATCATCTATCTATCTATCACCTATCTATCTATCATCTATCTATCTATCTATCTATCTATCTATCTATCTATCTATCTATCTATCTATCATCTATCTATCTAGCATGTGTGTAGGTAGATGCATGCATGTTGCATCACAAGCTTTCAGAGACAACTTGTGGAACTTGGTTCTTTCCTTCTGCCCCATGAGTCCTGGGGATTGAACTTAGGTCGGTAGGTTTGGTGGTCAGCTGGTAGTTAGCTGTTGCTCCCCCAACACTCCCTTCTAAACCTTCACTTCCCGAGCAGCTGGCACAATTGTTCAACGCAGCTCTCAGAACAGATCTCTTTATCTTATCGACGTGTACTGTAGTTCCGCACCCCCGCAGCCCAGCATCTTCGGCGTCACCTGTAAGCAGGGTGTTGGCTTAAACGTTCCCAGAAGGAACTTGCTCTTAGAGGCAGCTGGGTAGCCGTGGGAGGGAAGTTAATTAGTGCCAGACACTTCTGTGTTCTTATAGAATCGTTTTGTCTGTGGTGAAGCCTGGATGGTTCCGGTGTGGCAAAGAAAAAAACGTTCTTTCTCTTGCCAGGGTTCCAGCTGTAGTTTTGTAATGTAAAAACAAAATCAAGTCCCAAGATGTTTATTTTGTAATTAAAAAGGGAAAGAGGTCTCACCTTGAACGTTTGGATTGAGACATTTTCTAATTGCTTTGGTTCCTAGAGGAAAATTCTATTCTCTTGGCTTTGAATCTTCCTCAGAATTTGCAGAGATGATGCCTGGCATCTATATTTTTTTTCTTGTGGTTTAAGTGTTTCAGAGCACTGGTGGATGGAGCTGGATCCAGGTTTGGTGCAGACAATGCATGCCGTAGTATGGCTTGCAGCAGCTTGCTCGGGCTGTGGTTCTGAGAACCCAGGAACCTTCACACCAGACACAGCCTGATTCACAATTGGTTACACCTGTGGGAGTTATCTTTTCAGGAGCATGTCTCCCTCTCCTGGCCATTCTGCAGTACTACAAGAAACAAGACGACCTGGAACATAGACGTGGGCTCTCTATGTAGCTCTGGCTACCCTGGAACTCACTATATAGAACAGGCTGGCCTCAAAATCATGATAGCTGGGTCTAAAGGTATATGCCACCAAGTCTACCTAAGGATGGGCCTCTTCTTTTCCAAGTCCTCAGTGTTTTAAAAACACCTCCCCTTTCCAAACGCATCTCTTCTTGCACAGAGAACTGGTTGCAACAACCAGAGGATTGCGCTTTTCTAATAACCAGTGTCCTTAGTATTTTAAAAGGTATTCTGCATTTTCCGAGACCATGTAAAAAGGCTTAATCAACACAGCACAGACTCTTATTTCCCCTAAGAAGAGGGAACCTCCTGTGTGAAAATCCTGCCCTGAATATTCCTCCATCTTTTCCCTCGTCAGTTCTAGTACAGCAGTCGTGGCTCAGCCCTGGTCTCTGCTCAGCCCTGGTCTCTGCTCAGCCCTGGTCTCTGCTCATCCCTGGTCTCCGCTCATCCCTGGTCTCCGCTCAGCCCTGGTCTCCGCTCAGTCCTGATCCCCGCTCAGCCCTGGCCTTAGCTCAGCCCTGTTCTCTCAGCCCTTTCTCTGCTCAGCCCTGGCTACACGTTAGAAGTCCCTGAGCGGCAAAACACAGACACCCAGACTCTGCTGCCAAACTGCTCTGAACTGGTCTTGACCAGGCACCGGTGGTTAGAATGTGCCACTCGGGTGGAGAGCCACAGGCAACCCTTCTGAACACAGCCCATGTGCTGGCACTCGGTGGACATGCTGAGCATGCCAGGGTGAAGATGCAACTGGACCACCCGGGTCCTTTGCCACCACCATGGTCTCCTTTAACTCCTCAGAGTAAATAGTAATTTGAGTCTCAGAATAAGTGTTTCTCCACAGACATGGCTGCCCTCTGTTCTCAGGGGAAAGGTTCCTCTTTTTTGTTTTCTTGTTTGGTGAAAAATTTTTTTTTTAAATATTTACTTATTTATTATGTATACAATATTCTTTCTGTGCGTATGTCTGCAGGCCAGAAGAGGGCACCAGACCTCATTACAGATGGTTGTGAGCCATCATGTGGTTGCTGGGAATTGAACTCAGGGCCTTTGGAAGGGTAGGCAATGCTCTTAACCACTGAGCCATCTCTCCAGCCCCGTTTTTTTTTTATTTATTTATTATGTATATAGTATCCTCAGTGCTTTGTCTGCAGGCCAGAAGAGGGCACCAGATCTCATTACAGATGGTTGTGAGCCGCCACCATGTGGTTGCTGGGAATTGAACTCAGGACCTTAGGAAGAGCAGGTGGTGCTCTTAACCACTGAGCCATCTCTCCAGCCCCGTTTTTTTTTTTTTATTTATTTATTATGTATATAGTATCCTCAGTGCTTTGTCTGCAGTCCGAGGGCACCAGATCTCATTACAGATGGTTGTGAGCCACCATGTGGTTGCTGGGAATTGAACTCAGGACCTTAGGAAGAGCAGGTGGTGCTCTTAACCACTGAGCCATCTCTCCAGCCCCGTTTGGTGAAAATTTTTACAGTCAATACTTGGGACAAAAAAAAAGTCATGTTTTCCTGATTGGAATGAAGTTTAAGATCCAAGTCCTCATAATAAACAGAGGACAGTCTTTCAGATGACCAGGTCCCCATCCCAGAACTTACACACACGCCACCTTGCCCAGGGCCTTGACTGGTTTTTCTGTCGCTGTGATAAACTAACTGGACAAAGGCTTACTTGGGCTCACAGTTCAGGGCACAGACCATCTTCTCCGGGAATCCGAGGCAGCAGCAGTTGGCACAGCCAGTCAGAGGGTGTCCACGGTCACCAAGGTCACAGCCAGGGAATGGTGCCGCCCACAGTGGACAGCTCTGCCTTCCTTAGTTAATGTAATCAAGATAATTCTCTCCGGGCAAACCTGGAGTTTGCGAGAGTGATTCTCCAAAGACTGTGAGATGTGGGGTGGAGTGAGGTGGGGGATAGGGTGGGGTGGGGTGAGGTGGGGGATACAGTGGGGTGGGGGTAAAGTGGGGGGATAAGGTGGGGTGGGGGTAAAGTGGGGTGGGGGGGGGGGGGGGGGGGGGGGGGGGGGGGGAGGGGGGGGGGGGGGGGGTGGGGTGGGGTAAAGTGGGGGTGCCACTATAGATTATCTAAGCATGACCTCCTGACCTGTAAAATGACTAATACAATTGCTTCAACAGTTAGATTTGTGGTGGTTTGTTACCATGACAGTGGGAAACTGAGGCACAGTCCTCTCTTACACAGACCCCGCTCTAAGCCCCTGAAGGGATTCTGGAAGTGTGTTCACATAACCATGTGTTTTGTGAAGTTAATAGTTCAGCTCCCATCAATTAAGATTGCTACGTGCTCTTCTGGCTTCTGCAGCAACCTTCCCTGGGGAATCAGTCCCGGCTGGGCCCAGACATTCTGGGACTTGACTGAGCAAGAAAATGGTAGGAGACTCTTGTTTGCATTTAGTAGAATGTAGTCTTATGCTTTATGGTCACTTCCAGTAAGTATCAAGATATTGCTGGGGTGAAAAACACACCTATGGAGACATTCAGCATCCTCTGAGTACCCAAGCCACGGTGATGCGGAGAGGTCGTAAAACACATACAACTTGTGTAAAACACATGCAACTTGTGATCCTTAATCCATCAGAGGAATAAAAAAATAAACCTGTTTTCATCATCCCTAAATTCCTCCTATTGAACAGAAGCCATAATTCATGAAAAAGAAAAGTTAAGTTAGGATATAAGCAATCAATAAACTCTCAGGTTGTTGGATGAGCCCACTAGGGAAAATAAATTATATGAATATAACTATCATTTAAATTACCCAATGATTTGATGCAGTGTGCGGGCATACATAAAGATATTATGAACTCAGTCACTGACAAATTGATGAATGTGTCACCAATTTAAAGAATATTTATGATTAGTCACTGTACAAGTGTAAGTTAAATATGCTAAGATGATTTGTAGCTCTGGGAATTGCTGAACTTGGCCTCCCTGGTATCTTAGAATCATGTGTGTGTGTGTGTGTGTGTGTGTGTGTGTTTGTGCACGTGTGTGTGCACACGCACACATGCATGTGTGCACACAAATACTTACTTGTCTGTGTGTACATGTATGCACACTTGCACGTGGAGGTCAAGTGCTCTTGAGACGTCAGCCTCAAGAGCCAACCATTTTGTTTTTGAGGCAGGATCTGTCACTGAGGCCTGGGGCACCGTAAATAGGCCAGGTTAGCCATCCAGGGGACCACTGGGATCTAACTGTCTCCCACTCCCCAGAACTGGGATTATGGCATGTGGCCACCATGCTTGGCAGTTTGTGTGGGTTCTAAGCATTGACCTAAGGTCCTCAAGTTCACAATGCAAGTCCTCTACCATCTGAGCTCTCGCCGTAGTCCTTCAGTGAAGGAGATGGGAGATTTCCTCAAGCCAGGCCATAATCCTAAACATTTATTTGACATTGCCAGGAAAAAACTTAGACTGAATCTTGGTGCTGATGCCACCTTACAGGGTCCGCTGGTGGAATGGACGGTGCTGGAATCCAGAGGAGAAACCTCTGGAAATTTGTCAGAGAGCGTCTAGACATCACCTTGGCTGTAAGACTGGAGCGGATACACTGAAGAAAGGAACCTTGTGTGAAAGAAACGTTCCAGTAAACGGTGTGTCACCGCTTTTCAGGTTTGGCTGCACACAGGTCACGGCAAGTCAAGTGTAAGCATTCAGTCCGAAAAATAAACAACCCATCAGGGTCCTATCTTAGAGCAGGACCTTTAGTCAGTCCTTATTGGCTGATGTGTGGGTTTGGATTTTAAACCTCTCCTCCGCAGTCAGAAACGAATCAGCTAATGCGCGTGGCACTTAATACATTTGGTTTTGTCTTCGAAATTTCTACTTAGTGGAGAGTGGGTGTGCATTTAGGTGAAAGAGCTCAAACTGGGGGGAAAAAAAAACCTCTCTGCAGCAGCCTGATCCAGGGGTGGCCGAGGGGCCGCGAGAGCCTCCCGCCTGCAGGGGGCGCGCCGGCACGTGGCCGCTCTGCCCCGCGCGGGCTCCACCTCTGTGTCTGTCCGCGCTCCGCCCGCCGCCGCTGAAGAGGAGGAGCTGCTGCTGCTACTGCCGCCGCCGCCGCTGCTGCTGCTGTCGCCGCTGCCTCGGGCACAGGTACCAGGGCCGGGGCCGTGGGCAGCCGCTGGGCGGGAGCCGGTGACACCTGCCCTCCGGGCCCTGACGGCCGCTGGAACCGGGCGCGGGTCCGATCGGCTTCCCCGCGGGCGATGCTGGCGGGAGGGCCCGGGCCAGGCCTGAGGGGTGGCGCCGAGTGTGTCCGCGGTTCTTCGGGAGTCCCCGGCAGCCCATGCCCCACCCAGCCGGACAGCGACGTCCCAGCGAGCCCCCTCGGTGCAGAGCACAGTTAGGAAAAGGAAATCCTTAGCGGGTCACAAAGGAGTCCGCAGTCTGGGCGAGTGCAGGCGCGTGTGAGCTGCCCACGCTGTCACTACCCAGGGTACCCCAGGGTAAGACAGGGTTTGCACCCTTCCCGCCTGGGCCTCAGGTGATCATGAACTTTGACACTTGACACGCGTCGTTAAGAAAGCAGATCGTTTCGCTCCAGATTTCCCAGCAACTGCCGTGGGGAAGAGATTTATTTATTCCTTACCGTGTTCCACAGAATTTGGAATTGGCTGCAGAGTGTAGTGATAAGCATGCACCACTGAAGGGAGTAACACTGCTCAATTCTGCAGAACGTAGCATCGGGACCTAGGCACTTCCTAAGGCCGGGTCAGTGCTGTGACGGTTTTTGTTACAGTAATAGTTGGCTGTGTAGTCAGGTATAGTGCCCAGTGATGTCCCTTTTTTAACATCTTTGCCACAACCCTAACAAGTAACATTTCTAATTTGCGGATAAGGAGACTGAAGCACGGAGTCCAGACAGTTGGCACGGGATCCGAGTCTCCCAAGACCCCACCTCACATCCACGTCCTCATTACCTTCCAAACCTAGTGCTCCTTAAGATTTTGTTTGTTCATACAATTTGTAGCCTGAAATGATTTCTTTAAGAACTGTGTGTGGCAGTGTGGAGGAGCCTGTCATTTTCGTTTAGAGGGAGTTTGGTGAGGAAACAGGTTTGTCCTGTAAACCTTGTAGTGATAATAGAGTTAAACATCCCGGGTCCTCCTGCTTCAGTGCAGTGTGGTCTGAAGGGAAGCGGGTCTGTCTGTTTACACAGGATAGCTGTAGTTCTGTCTCCACAGAAGTTCTAGTGCGTTTACCTGGCACATGCAGTATTATGCCAAACCGAAGGACTTTTTCCTCTCCCACAGTAAGCTCATGTTTTTCAGGACATTGGGGAGACATGGGAGAGGAGCTGCCGTGTGAGGAGGCGGGAAGGATTCAGGGCACATTCTGTGGAGCAAGGTCAAGGTTTTCTGTGTGAGCCTGTGTGAGCTCCTTCCGGGTCTCAGAGAGTGGGGCTTGTACAGTCTTCGTTCCTTAACTGTGGTCGGGATAAAATACCCTGACAAAGCAACGTAAGGAGAAAGGAATCGTGAGGGTGGCAGGGACTTGAAGCGGCTAGTCTGTGACAGCCACGGTCCAGAGCAGAGAGCAGTGACCGGATGAATGCACGTTAGACTTCACCTCCCTTCTGGTCAGAGGCTCAGCTCCTGCAATGGTGCTGCCCACAGGACGGTTGACCCAACTGGCCTCACAGGGATGTCCAGAGGCCAACCTAATCTAGACACTTCCTCACTGAGACCCTCTTCCCAGGGGCTTCTTTCTTGTGTTAAGTTGACCGCCATTGCTAACCGTCATTGAGTCCCGACTCCTTAGCCGTACCCAGGATTTGAGAGTGTGTTGTCAAGGGTCACGTAGCACACGTACAGCCTTTCTTCTGTGATGGGGCAATTCTAAGAACCAGGGACATGAGGGTAACCCAAGTCATTGATCTAATGGAGCCATCATTGTCTCAGAGAAAAATGGGGATATTTTATTATGGGAATATGGGAATGATGATTTATTAAATATGGGTATATTTATTAATGAGGAAATATGGGGATTATTTTAAACAAAACAATTTGTTTAAAAATGGAAATATAGGGGGCTGGAGAGATGGCTCAGCGGTTAAGAGCACTGACTGCTCTTCTAGAGGTACTGAGTTCAATTCCCAGCAACCACATGGCAGCTCACAGCCATCTGTAAGGGACCCAATGCCCTCTTCTGGTATGCAGATATGCATGTAGACAGAACATACTCATAGACATAAGTACATACATCTTTTTAAAAAATGCATGCATATGGCTCTTCCTGTTTAAAAGTCTACATGTGTTCGCTATCTCCTCGTGGGGTCTGAGGTGGTAAAATGCCTTCATGACGAAATGAAGCAGGGTGGAGGCTATGGCCATTGCAACATGGGTCACAGGCATTGCGATACCGATACCGAGGCAATCGATCTACGCTAGTCCAGGTGTCTGTCAACAGGACCTGCTGAACAGAGGGGTGAGTCATGCCTAGGCTGGGTCAGACATGGCTGCGTAAGATTTTGTCACACTGTTTGGAATGGTGTGTGCTTTAGAACTTATGAATTCCTTCTGGAATTTTCCATCTCACAGAAGTTTGGTAGTTACAGTTTTGTTGACCAATTTTTATTCAATATGACAAAATTTCTGATATTTAAATAAGTTGAAAAGAAGAAAGATGTCTTTTATTTCCAGCTTAGAGATTTTAGTCCATCGTCTTCGCTCTGTGGCTTCTAGAGCCTTTGTGAGACAGAACATCACAGAGGTGGGAGCAGGTGGCAAGGCTGCTCGTCTCGTGGGGACAGGCAGCCGAGAGAGTCACACGCTTGCAGTGACTCACTTCCCCAGCTGGTCCCACATGCGGAAAATCTCACACTCTCCCCAAATAGCCCATCAGCTGGGAACACTTCATGCCCAAACCATGACAGGTAGCGTCAGGAGGCTGTGGCATCTAGACCATGGAAATGAGAATGGAGCTGTGGAGCCTTTTACGTTCGGTGATTGATGTGATCAAGAACAGTAAAGGCACCGGGAGGAGACGCTTTGGAATATTTGAGGGGCAGAGAGTAAGTGCAGGGGCCAGGGAGAAAGTGATCAGCTGTGACGTCCACTGATCTGACAAGCCAGGGGGATGGAGTTGATGCCAGAAGGGTGTTAGGGACAAGGCTGGGATGCTTATCCTACGAGAAATGAAGGAGTGTTATAGCAGAGGCAGCGAAAAGGCTGAGCATCCAGACACATGCACCCTGTAGACCTGAACAACGTGGGGAGTGGGGACAGACGCCCGCAGTAATGTTCAGTGTGCTACAGCCACACTGCGTGTGCAACAGCTGTGCCCACACGACAGACGCCCGCAGTACTGTGCAGTGTGCTTGACCGCGCTGCGTGTGCAACAGCTGTGTCCACACACGTCTGTTTAAAGTTTAGACATGTGTGCCTGGCTGTGGTACCTGTGCTGCACAGCCCTCAACACTGATGCTCTGGGATTCCCCAGGAACCGCCTAGAGTCTCACCTGAGTTATTGCGCAGGTAACTAGAGGAGCAGTGGTGCCGAAGGGAGGAGAAGGATTGGAGCGTGGATAGCATGGGAAGTTGGCAGGAGCTTTTACCAGCAGCCTGCTAACAGGGCGCTTGGTTGTAAGCCCACCATGATGGGAGCCAAGGCAGAGACAGGAGCACCAGGAGGTCATGGCCAGCTTCCACTGCATAGTAAGGTTGAGGTTGACTTGAGCTGTGTGGCAGAACATTGCCTTAAAAGACGAAATGATTGCATGTTTGCCGTGCAAGACCCTGCACCACGAAACAAAGTATAAATTCCCAGGGTCGCATTCATTACTGATGGGAAAGTAAAATAGTAACAACCCACACTGCAAGAGTGTGACAGTTCTTACAGAACTGCGTATTTCTGCCACACAGGCCAGAAGTTGTATTCTTTGGTAGGATTCCAAAACATGTCCACACAAAACCTGGACATAGGGATTTACAGCGCCATTGTTCAAACGTGGGCAAATGTGGAATCAAGTGGTGTGCCCTTCAGTAAATGAACGGTTTAGCTGACTGATACATCCACACAATGTCCTATCACCCGGTGCTGAAAACAAAGGGACCAGTGACCCGGTGAAACAATAGAAGGTGCCGATAAGTGTGTGGGAGGACCGTGCTGACCCTCAGAGGCCCGCACTGAGTCTGGCTGGCAGGATCATGCTGACCCTCAGAGGCCCGCACTGAGTCTGGCTGACAGGATCGTGCTGACCCTCAGAGGCCCACATTGAGTCTGGCTGACAGGATCGTGCTGACCCTCAGAGGCCCACGTTGAGGCCAGCTGATGGGAGGACCCTGCTGACCCTCAGATGCTGGCCTTGAAGCTGGTTGAAGAGATTTAGCACATTTTGCTGGCGGGTGTCTGTTTGGGGGTGCCCAGGGGGACTAGAGCAGAGACTGAAGGATGTAAAAGAACCATCTGTAAAGTGGGGAATAGGAGTGCTGGGTTAGGCCCTTGTGGGTTAGAGTCTGGTTGGTGGGAGTTAAGTCCAGGAAGGGCATCGAAGATGGGAATGGGGATGTTACACACCTGACGTCACCTGCTAAACAAGAATTAAACGCTAAACAGAAGAACGGTGGCATGGGGATCTGTGAGTGCTGCCGGGAGGGGCTTTTACTGGCTGCCATGAGCTGAAAGCAGGCTTTAATCTCTGTCTCCTCTGAGGCTTCTGTAGACGAAGGTACAAAACATTCTGATTTCAGATCATTTTCCAAAATCCAAAAACTTGTGCATTTAGAGATGTAATTTGTTCCATGTATTTAAAAATAAGAAATGTATTATAACATTTGAAGCCTATGAGGTCATTGTCTTTTGAAAGCCTTTTGAAGAACAATTTTCATGTCACAGTGATTTTTTCCGAACAATGTGGTTCTCTTGAGTGCCAGAACAAAGGTTCAAAGCAGCAGTTGTTCAGACTTTGCATAAAGAACTGTGGAGTGTTTTAGTGTCACGCCCTGGGGACAGGCCATACAGAGACGTTTACCGTGTTACCGCGGCCTCCTTAGTGTTAGTCATAGTGCACATGACTAAGTACTGGCTTTAGGAGATGTGGATAAGAACTGGAAGAAGGCTGAGCTGTGTTAAGTAGCTCTAACTGGTTCTGTGTCTTCACTGAACACCATCTGGGCAGGGGCCGTTGTTCAGCACTGGAGGACGCTTCCTGGACGACAGTGGCTCTGAGTCCCCTGTGCTGCCGCAGTGGCCGTCTATAAAGATGGCTCCTAGGGCAGAGGGAGGCTGGGAAGATGGCTCAGTTCCAGGGATCCGGTGCCTCTGGCCTCGGTACACACACGCACACCTCAACACTACCCCACCTCATGTGCATCATGGGAATAGGGGCCTGCAGCCTCTGCTCCCATCTCTGAAAGGTTCCCAGAGCTCTCTGGGAGACTGTTTGCCACCCTATTAGAAGAGACCTTGTAGGCCGATTCTCAGTCAGAACGAAATTGCCATGGCT